GAATATTGAAAGTGCCATAGGCTGCCAATAGAACCAACATATCTGTGTTGGAAGAAGTGCAGCCAGAGTGCTCCTTGGAGGCCAGGATGGCTAAACTTCATCTCTCATACTTCAGACATATTGTCAGGAGGGACCAGTCACTGGAGAAGGATATCATGTTTGGCAAGATGGAGGGTCAGAGAAAAGGAGAAAGATCACAAGCGAGATGGACTGGCAAAGTGGCAGCATCAATGGGCTCAAGCATGGCAACAATTGTGAAGTTGGCCCAGGACCAGGCAGTGTTTTGTTTATTGTAAATAGGGTTGCTATGAGTCAGTACCACCCCGGTGGCACCTAACAACAACAACAATGTAGTTGATTGCTACCTGAAAGGACAGAAGTTTGATTTACCTAATGGTGCCTCAGAAAAAAGGCTTGGTGATCTACTTCTGAAAAATCCGCCATTGGAGACTCTACAGAGAAAGGTTTAGACACTGGGCCATGAGTCAACTCTTAGTAGGTTATTTGACACCTACCAAGATTTGCAGTCAACTAGACATGCAGTCAACTGGACAGCAATTCTTGGTAGGTGTCCAATAACCTTTAGAAGTCAATATTGGATTAAAAATAACAAAATGTGGAACACTGTATACTAAGTTTTATTGTTTTTTTTTAAAAGTAAATCTATACAAGTATACTTATGTCGCTGTTGTTGTTAAGTGCCGTCAAGTCGGTTTCGATACATAGCGACCCTGCACAGGGTTTCCTAGGAGCACCTGGGGAGCTTGAATAGCTGACCTTGCAGTTCCAAATGACTTACCACTCCGGCAAATTAACCCAAAATGCCATACCAGGACTCCAAGTATACTTATGTTGTTGTTGTTGTTAGGTGCTATCGAGGAGGTACCGACTCATAGTGACCCTATGCACAACAGAACAAAACACTGCTCAATCCTGGGCCAACTACTGTTGCTATGCTTGAGCCCATTGATGCTGCCACTTTGCCAATCCATCTCACTGGGGGTCTTCCTCTTTTTCTCTGACCCTCCACCTTACCAAACATGATATCCTTCTCCAGCTACTGGTCCCTCTTGATAATATGTCTGAAGTATGAGAGACAAAGTTTGGCCATTTTGGCCTCCAAGGAGCACTCTGGCTGTACTTCGCAGCCCGTGGCACTTTCAATATTCTCCTCCAACACTGTAACTCAAAAGCATCAATTCTTCTATGGTCTTCCTTATTCACTGTACAGCTTTCACATGCACATGATGTTACTGAAAATATCATGGCTTGGGTCAGGTGCACCTTAGTCCTCAAGCTGACATCTTTGCTCTTCAACACTTTAAAAAGGTCTTGTGCAGCAGATTTGCTTAATGCAATACGTCGTCTGATCTCTTGACTGCTGCTTCCATGATTGTTGATAGTTGATCCAAGAAGAACGAAGTCCTTGACAACTTCAATCTTTTTTCTCCATTGCTAAGACTGTTGTTTATTGGTCCAGTGGTGAGGATTTTTGTTTTCTTTATATTGAGATGCAATCCATACCGAAGGCTGTGGTCTTTGATCTTCATCAGTAAATATTTTTTAAGTCCTCTTCACTTTCAGCAAGCAAGGCTGTATCATCTGCATATTACAGGTTGTTAATGAGTCTTCCTCCAATCCTGATGCCACGTTTTTCTCCATATAACCCAGCTTCTTGAATTATTTGCTCAGCATACAGATTGACTAAGTATGGTGAAAGACTACAACCCTGTTGCACACTTTCTTAATTTTAAACCATTCAATGTTCCCACCCATGTTCTATTCGAACAACTGACTCTTGGTCCAGGTACAGATTCCTCAAGAGCACAATTAAGTGTTCTGGAATACTCATACTTTGCAATGTTGTTCTTAGTTGTCATGATCCTTATAGATGAGTAAAATATCTTAGAAGGGTAGGCAAGAAACTAGTACTAACCACTGCCTCTGGAGAGGGGAGCATAGAGCCTGGGTTCAGTGTTGGGAAGAACTTTGCCATTTCTTTGTGGACTTTGGCACTATTTGAGTTTTCACTGTGTATATATATTATTATTCAAAACAATTTTTCTAATGCCATAGATGTTTCCTATGAAAAGGAGTGGTAGCAGGAGATTCCAAGAGACTCTAGAAGGTATTTTTACAGGCCTGAGTCTCAGTTAATTCTATTCCAAATCAGCTCCTGAGAGTTTCAGCTTGGGGTGACTGGCTCACGGCTTTCAGAGGCAGATCCCCCTGATGGACAGTGAGGCAGAGTCTGTCCACTTACCAAACACTCTCCAGGGTTCATTAGCTGTAGATACATAACCTGCCACGTTCACGGTCTCTCTGGACACACAGGCTGTTACTGTTGTTAAGTGCTGTCATATCATAGTGACCATGTTCAGGGTTTCTGAGGAGCAGCTAGTGGGTTTGAACTGCTGACCCCTGCGGTTCAAACTGACCTTGTGGTCTCGTGCATTATCTTGCAGTGCCACACCAGAACTCCTGTTTCTCTCAAAAAGATGAGGTGTGAATTCTGTTCATTTACTTTACCAATTCCTAATCTATGTCAATTAATTCCAATCCTAATGCAGATCAAGTAAGAATCCCAGGCAGGGACCTGGGCACCTCTCTCCCTTCTTGGCTGAGGAACCCCACATTTTACTGCTAAATTGTGGCAGATATTCACACAAATGGCCTCTTCTGACCTGAGACCAGAAGAACTAGATATTGCCTGGCTACCACCGTTGATTCTTCTGACCAGAGACAACAGAAGCTCACATATTATTTGGGAGAAAAATATAAAACAAAATTCAAATTCCTAAGAAAGACAAGACTTATTGTACTAATAGAGAGCTCAGGAACCTCTGAGACTTTTGCCCTAAGATGCCCTTTTAACTGGAGGTCTCCTTTCAGCCAGATAACAGATTGGCTAATAAAATAAACAATATCACCTTTGAAAGGAGCTCTGGCAGTGTAGTGGGTTATGCCACTCCAAATGAGAAATGTGAGGCTTTCTGCTCCCATAAAAATTTACAGTCTCAGAAATCCTTTACAGGGGCATTATAAGTTGGAACCTACTCAACGACCACCACCATCACCTCAGAGGAATGTGTTCCCATAAGAAATCAACGTTTACCAAGAAACAGAGACAAGAAGACAAAGAGGGGCAGGGAAGCTAGCTCAGTGGAAACAGAACAAACAAAATGGAAATCATGATGATGCTGACACCTTGGGAAAGTGATAACCAACTTCACAAAACAATCTGTATAGAGCTATTCAGTGGGAACCCAATCTGTTGGGTAAACTTTCACTAAAACACAATAAAATTAAAGCAAACAAACAAGCAATTGTAGTGGATGGTCCTTCCCCAGGTACTTGATCCTGTTTGAATGAACCAATGTACAGTTAGAAATCCTCGCACTGAAATAAAAGATTGCTTCAAGTTTATTTTGAGACCTGTTATCACACCACCCTAGGATCCGACCTTGTTGGGTTTGGAAGACTGAATAAGGTTGTAGACCATAAATGCCAGGGCTGGAGACCTGGCCCTGCTCCACGCTGACCAAGCCTGGAGTGAGCCCAGACCCCAGATCCCAGTTATGAGGATTGGAGATGGACCTTCACCAGAGTGAAACCTACCAGGATCAGGAGACTGTAGTCATTCCAACACTTTCTACTTGCTTCTAGCATCATTTGTTGACACAGAACAACATTTATTGCTAGCATATGAATACAAAAAGTAGTGTTTGAAAAGTCACCTCTAAGACTAACTAGTTTACATAAGTATCTAAAAATAAAAATAATGTTTTGGCTCCAAACTTGTTTTTTTCCCCAGTTTGCCCCCTGCTGAGAATTTGCTTTTCCAACCCAGATATGCTGAATCAGAATCTACAGTTTAACAAGTTCCTCAGGTGATTCTTTGAAATCTGCAGGGTGATCTGAGGATCTTGTTCAGCTGTAGGTTTGGATTCAGTGTATCTGGAGTGGAAAGGCCAATTCTCAGCAGGGAGTAGAATTAGTTGGAGCCCTGATTATCACACTGTTTCTAACTTTGTTGTTGTTGTTAAGTGCCGTCGCGGCGACCCTGCATAGGGTTTCTGAGGCTGTAAATCTTTTCAGGAGCAGAAAGCCTCATCTCTCTCCCGCGGAACAGCTGGTAGTTGTGATCATAATGTTTCTGTCACACTATCTACAGTTTGAGTTTCTAACCACTAGGGGCTGACATACTCCATTAAAACTGTTTGCCATCAGTTTCCAAGATGGCTGAACTCAAACTGTTCACAAATCCTAAATCCAAGAATCATTCCTTTCAACACTGAAGGGCCTTGATTTTACAAGAGAAGAAAATGTTAGCTTTGGATTCAAAGACAAGTAAGAGTGAACTGGAAAGTCAGACAGAATATGAGAACCAGAAGGACATCAAAAAGTCCAAGCTTCGTGGCTTATCACATTGTATGAAAATTACCTAGAAAGCTCACCTGGACACTTGTGTGTTTAAAAAGCTCCACAGCTGAATCTTATGTGCAGCCAAATTCAGAACAACTATGCTAACCCAACACTCATGCCAGAGAGGGAGAAACAGAGGCCCAGAGAGGGCAAGTGCCTTGAGCATCACAGCCCACCACAAGTCATTAGTGGAAAAAGCCCAGGGTCTCCAGTTCTCCATCCTGTGCCCTATGTCCAGGTATATGTTATCACTGCTTACGATTTGGTTTCTGGCAGTCTTCTTGAATGATACGGTGGATCTTTCTGTGTAGTTCTTTGTCTTCTCTAGTTACCTAAATAGGAAAAACAGGCCAGAGAGAAAAAGCATCCTTAAGTAACAGACGTTGTGTCATCCAGACTCCCAAATTAGTACGTAGGAGAGTTTGTAAAGATTTCATGATCATCATCATCCTTCCCACACCAAAGAGGCAGTTTTCAATACTTGGCATATTGCCAAACCAGTTCTGTTCCTAAACAGCTCACTGCTCTGCAATTGGCCCAGAGGTACAACCTGGAACTAGTTTACTGGGCCTATGATGTAGAGAAGACAGGAATTCTGCACTTATGTGGCGCAACCTTCTTTAACGTTCTTAACAAATTCATCAAAATGTTCTTTTTATTGTTTATCTAAATAGATATATTTTTGAGGGAGTCACAATGATCAAAGTCTTACTATCCACCCCAGGGACTCCTTCCTCTGGTCTCTGACACCTGTCTTAGGTTTCACTGCTTTTCCTCCTTCTCCTAGCCATGGTGAAAGTGAAAATTAAAAGGTTAGGAGATGCTACCAAGAGAGAAGAGAGTAAACAGCTTATCCTCTGAAAACACATTTTGGTCTCAAAGGCAGCATAACGTAGTTCCTTTCTTACCCAGCTCAGGTAAGAGGGATGGAGCAATAAATGGGTCTCACCTTCACATTCAATGGTCAATCTAATAAAAAGGAAAAAAATCAAAACAGAACGGGAGGGAGGGAAGAAGGAAGAGAGGAAGAAAGAGGCTGCAAGCACAGCTGGAAGCTTCCACGTAGAAGCAGCCTAGGAAGGCTTGTCTGACCAGAATTTGATAATGCCGGTCTTCTCTCAACTCACAAGGTCATTATGAAGATTAAATAAAGCAATGTGTGTGAAAGCTGGAAGGCATTATATAAAAAGAAGTACTGATAATATTGGATAACAATTTCCCTGAAGCCAGCCAATGAGGTGGAAGGGGAAGTGTGAACTCAGAGACTGGCTGAGTGAGTCCAGGGAAGAAAACTCGGGCCAGATCAGCCCATTTCAAGTCATAATGATTCACAGGAGGAAGTGCCCCAGCCCTGCCACACCTTGGCCCTGGCCTGCTGCTCCTCAGGAAGAGTTCCCCTCTACACACCAGGAAGGAGGTTGTCTAGAGGCTGGGGAGGCGTGGGGGTGGGGAGGTTCATGAAGGAAGCTTCTGCAACCTTATAGGAGGCCTGTCCCATCCTGGAAGGAGAGGAGTGGCTCTTAGCCCTGACACAAATTAGAATGCCCTTTTCAAAATGGATCCAAATAATATTTAACACCCTGAACTAGGGAGTTGCTCATGCAACTCAGGAAACTGTCCTGTGACGAAGGCTTCTGTCCCCTCAGTGGTAGGACTTTTGGGATGCCTCAGAGCTCAGATCAGCCACTAGAAGAATCACAGTTAAATGCCACTGACATCAGGGGTCCACCTGGGTCTGCCCATATCAAAGGTCTGCAGTGAGACAGCAGAGGGTCTGGTTTCCTTAGCAAAAGGTGAAGGGCTCTGGTGGCACAGAGATTAAGCACTGAGCTGCTTACCAAAATGTCAGCAGCTTGACCCACTGCCCACTCAGTGGGAGAAAAATGTGGCAGTCTGCTTCTGTGAAGATTTACCACCTGGGAAACCCTGTGGGGCAGTTCTACTCTGTCCTAAAGAGTCAGTCTCAGAGGGAACTGACTCGATGGCAGGGGGATTGTTTTCCAGTGGGAGGAGAGGAGTCCCTGGGTGATGAATGTGCACTCACTGACAGCAGAAAGGTGGAGGTTCGAGTCAACCCTGAGAAGCCTGAGGAAAAGCCTGACAATCGACTTGTGAGGAATCAGCCACTGAAGACTGTGGAGCACACTTCCCTCTGACACACTAGGGCTTGCCATGAGTTGGACTGAGAGATGAACTTTCCCCCTAAAATATAAGGAAAACAAGCACTTGTACTCCTAGTGGGAATGCCAACTGGAATAGCCTCTTGGGAGACCAATCAGGCTTTGCTGACCAGAATGTATATATCCTTTGACCCAATAATTCCTCCTTTTCTCCCTTACAGAAGTATTTACATAAGTTCACTAAGATGTTTGTGCCAAAACAACCAAGCTACAGTATATGTGACAGCAAAAAGTTGGAAACAAATGTCTATCCAGATAGGAATTGCTAAAAAGCACTGGCAAATATTGATAATATGAAATGCTAGGTAGGGATTTAAAAAAAGAGAGAGGTATATTTATAAGTTCCAACATATAAAGACCCATTGTGTAATATTTGGGCACAAAATAAGTTGCAAAGCATTATTTAGAGCAGTAGTTCTCAGCTGCCCCAGGGAACACTTGTCAATGTCTGGAGACATGTTTGGTTATCACAACTGGGAGATGCTACTGGCACCTCATGGAGTCCTGGGGTGGCGCTGAGGGTTAATGTGCTGGTCTGCAAGGTAGGTTTGAACTTCAAGGTTAGCAGTTCAAACTCACCAGCCACTCTTTGGCAACCCCAGACAAGGTCTCTATAAGTCAGAACTGACAGCACTTAACAACAACTGGCATCTCAAAGGTAAAAGTCAAGGATGTTGCGAAACATCCTACAATGCACAGGGCAGCCCCCCACAACAAAGATGCAACAGACCCAAAATGTCAATAGGTTGAGGCTGGACTTAGAGCAGGAACATATAAAAACAATAAAGTCATTGGAGCATGTATTGGATATGTACATTTGTAAATAAATGTCTAGATCAATGCTTAGATGGCTACACCATTGAAAGTACTTTAAGAAAGATGAGGGCAGCTTTTGCTTCTTACTTTATATCCCTCCTTACTGAATTTTTTGCAAACAATTGATACTATGAATAATATACTTGTAACGGGAGCTATGAAGACAAAAGAAACAAGTTGCAGGTCTCTTACATAGTAGAGATCATCAAAACCACCTTCTTTCTGGAAAACGAGTCCCTTTTCCTGAAGCAGCTGTATCGCGTTCTTAAATATACTATGAATTGCCTTGGAAGTGGTATCATTCTTGACATCCGCCTGTTGGAAGAGGAAAAACAAAGAAAAACACGGAAGGAAGTAAGACTAAGAGTCCCACTTTACAGAATCTGAGAATAACTCCCTAGACCAACTGGTTTAGGAATTTGCCTGGTAGGCTTTTCATCTGCTGAGGCAAAAAGGTTGAGATATGCTTAGGCCTAGCAAGGATGGTGTTATAAGGGGTCAGAAGTTTGTTCCAGAAGAATCCTACTTGATAATTGTTCCACAACTTTAGTAGTGATTTTCCTGTTGAAGTCTGTGATATGGAATCCATAACCAAAAAGCTACCCTTTCTGTTATGCAATCTTTTATTTTGTTTCAAATTCAAACTCTAACACTGAGGTTGTTGGTGACTCAATGGTAGATTTCTTGCCTTCCAGATGGAAGACATGGATCCAAATCTTGGTCAGTGTACCTCATGACCTGTCAGTGGTGGCTTGTGTGTTGAATAGGTCTAAGCAGAGCTAACAGAGAAAAGGGCTGGAGATCTATTTTGGAAAATTGGCCAATGAAAACTTTATGGATCACAATGGTCTGATCTATAAATGATGATGGGATGGTGCAGGACTGTGTAGTGTTTCATGTGACCACATATGGGGTTGACTCTAGGGCAGCATATAGTAACAACAAACACAGTATACATGGGACCTCCTTTCTTCCTTTAAATTCTGGCTATCTACAACCTCTTCCTAAGCACTTAAAATCATTTTACACACATCGAAACAATCTGGGAGTTAAGTCAGTGCCAAATCTTGTTTGAAATAGAGAATGATGGAGGCACACAGCTGTAAAGCTGACAGAGGAAAGAAGGCGTGGAATGAAGCAAAGACCACCACACAGAAAGCCTCTGCTGAGATCAGTTTCCTGTCTCCTCACTTTCAGTGTTTCTTCTCTGAGAGATGGGTTTGCTCAAAGAGGCGTCACATCAACTTATTTCTTATTCCCAACATGGCCTTCAGTGGACATATGAAGGAAGCTAGGTCACTAGCTATGTCCAGCATGGTCAACTCAACTGTGTGTTTCCTGATCAGGCACTTTGAATTTCATCCCAGTCACCTCTTCCCAGGGGCGCCATAGTGGGCAACCAATAAAGAATCTGAAATGAATGGAAACCAGTACCCAAGTAGAAACACTGCATCCTTGTTATTCCATGGGGTATTTTCAGTTCATTCTCAAAGCATCAACACCATCAAAATGGTGACAAAACAATTATTGTATAAGATGCAGATCCATTTTTAATGTGAAAGAAATTTGTCAGGGTTATCATAAAGAATAGAGCTTCAAATGTGGCAAAGTGCCCCCCAAAGTGTCTGAAGGCAAAGTGCTCTTTTCCAAGAAGGTTAATTAAGACTGTCTAGGGAGCTCTGGTAGCATAGTGGTAGCATAGTGGTTACGAATCGGACTGCGAACCTTAAGGTCAGCGGTTCGAAACTACCAGCCGCTCCGCGGGAGAAAGATGAGGCTTTCTACTCCCGTAAAGATTTACACCCTCGGAGACCCTGTACAGGGTCGCTATGGGTCGGACCCGACTCGATGGCACTCAACAACAACACAACAACAAGGGAAGTACCCAGAGATGCTGACAAAGAGTGGGGTAAGATGTGTTGATGACACTTTCTTAAAGAGGCAGGGAAAGGAAAGAACCTTCAGTGTTGATAATCCTATTGCTAAATAAACACATTTTTAGATGAGGTCTCCCAAATAGGCAGCCTATTAATCTAACAGATCCTGGTGACATCGTGCAGACAGGTTTCTGGGCTGAAGATGACAGTCTAATACTCTTAATTAAGTTAATTATCTACGTTTTTCCGTAACAGAGCAAGCTGGAGAACCCGATCGTCAGAGCACTGTGACCTCAAAGTTGACAAACATTCCAGGTCAAGCATGCACCCATTCTCCGTACAGAGAATAACGCAGATAAATACTCAACGACTCCCACAGGCAGACAAGCTATGTGGGTGTGCTTAAATAAACACCTCCCTTAGTAATCCTCAACCACACATCTTTTGATTTAAGGGGGCTAAAGTAAAGCTACTTTTCATTTTATACATGAGTGCTCTTACTTAGGAGAAGCACAATCAACCCAATACATTCAAGCAACAATTACTTAGTCTTTGACATTCCAAGAAGATTTGCCTTCCTAAATTAGTTTCACATACCAATCCTAAGAATTGAGTTTACTTTCTTACTGAGATAGAAATTTTGGAAACTAACTAGCAGTGACTGATACATGATTACTGTTGTTGCTCTCGAGTTGGCCCCAACGCATGGCAACAAAATGCTGCCAACCTTGCTCTACGCCTATGATCTGTTGCAAGTCATAGAGATGGGAGCCATAAGGTTTTCACTGGCTGAGTTTCAGAAGGAGATCTCTAGGACTCTCTTCCTAGTTGTAGCACTCGGGACGCTCCACTGAAACCTGTTTGACATCACAGCAACCCACCAGCCTGGGCTAATAGATGGGAAGTGGCTGTGCATGAGGAGCACTGGCTGGGAACTGAACCCGGCTCTCCCACATGGAAGGTGAAAACTCTACCCCTGGAACACCACCGCCTCATATACAATGACAATGCCATTAAAAATGACCCTTGGGTTGCTATAAGTCAGAACCGTCTCAATGGCACTTAACAACAACAGATGTCTTTTGGACATGTCAATAATTAAGAAATCATATTCTCCTATTTATTCTTGGAATCATCATTATAATTATCATGATATTATTAAGTACTTTCTAAAGACTAAAGTGTTGGCTTGGTGCTGTAGGATAAGCACTGGTGTGTCTCAGATACCCTATACAGGGTTGCTATGAGTCAGAACCAACTTGATGGCACTTAACAACAACAAAGGCCAGATAATTTGGAGGGTATTTTATATGCATTATTTCATTGATTCCTCAAGAGAGTCTTATGATGTCATCTCCTTTTGGCTAATAAGGAAACTGAAGCACAGACAGGTTAAGTAACTTATTCAAGGTTATATGGAACCAAGATTATAATCTAGTTCAACAGCCTGTGTCTTAGACCTATAATTTCCTCTTTGAAAACCATCAAGAATTTTTTTCTGGCTTCCAATACACCTTCTAGAGGGTTTATGTAAAACAGTTCTTTCATGCCTTCAAACATCCACTGTCATTGAGTCAATGCTGACTCACAGCCACCCTATAGAGAGTTTCTGAAGCTGTAAGACTTGATGGGAACACACAACATTGTCTTTTCCTGAGGAGGGGCTGGTAGTTTTGAACCACCAACCTTGTGGTTATCAGCCCAGTGGCAATCCTTCCAGTCATACTCAGCATGTACTGTGAGCAAAGAACCCTGGTGGTACAGTGATTAAAATATATGACTGCTAAATGAAAGAGTGAGGTTCACACCCAGCTGACCCATGGAAGAAAGATGTGGGAGTCTACCTCCTTAAAGATTACAACCATGGGAACCCTGTGGGGCAGTTCTACTCTGTCCTATGTTGTTGTTGTTGTTGAGTGCCATCGAGTCGGGTCCTGTCCTATAGGATCCCTATAAATCGCCATCAACTTGATGGCAATATTTTGGTTTGTTTTCATTTGGTTTACTACGAGCAACGCAAAGTCATGGACTAGGAATAAAAAGAGTAGGTTAGGAAGATGGTCTGGGTGTCTACTCTCTTGATATTTACAGATTAATGGGGGAAGATGGACAATGTATTTTAAAACAACAACATTTAACATTGTGGAGAAATAGAGGGTCCATCAGAGGGCTAGAAGTCTTCCTTAGCAAGTGGCCTCTCATTCTTAGTATATTGCTTAGATCTAGGATGAGACCACTCCAAATCCAGTGCAATATATCAACTGTGTCTGCAACTCCTAAAAAAGCATTTGTTGTTATGTGCCGTGGAGTTGGTTCTGACTCATAGCAACCCTGTACAGGGTTTCTGAGGCTGTAAATCTTTATGGGAACAGAAAGCCTCATCTTTCTCCCATGGAACAGCTGGTAGTTTCAAACTGCTGACCTTGAGGTTCACAGCCTGATTCGTAATCACTGCACTATCAGAGATCCTTAAAAAAGCACTTGTTGTTGTTAAGTGCCGTGGAGTCGATTCCGATCCATAGCAACCCTGTATCGGGTTTCCAAGGAACATCTGGTGAGCTTGAACCACCGACCTTGCAGTTCAAATGACTTTGCAGTCTGATGCATTAGCCCACAGCGCCACACCAGGACTCCAAAAAAGCACTAGACATTCAATACTTGTTAAATTATACTACCTGAAAAAAAAAATTCAGCAGTGCCATGGCTACTACTACATTCACCAATCTATGCTGAGTTGTGTTTGTTCTTGTTTTTCAGTTGGAGGTTCCCTTCAGGCCATGAAAAAAGTAAACTTTTCCTAAATGACACCTACATTTTGATCAATCCCAGAGCACCTGGTTCAGTCTTCTTACCTAAGTGACCTAAACAAGATTTGACAATTTCAGCCATAAAATCTTATACAGGTTTAAGCTCAAAGAACTGAATTAATGAAATACATTGCTTGTCCTTTTTATTAAATCAAATTATAAATATGTACTTTTTAGCATTTACAAATGTCACTCCTAATTAGCTCAAGGACTCGGATATAGACAAGCCCTACTCAAAGCACTGGTGTGGCACTGTGAGCTAATGCGCCAGGCTGTAAAGCCATTTAAACTGCAAGGTCAGTGGTTCAAGCTCACCAGCTGCTCCTTGGAAACCCTATTCAGGGTCACTATGGGTCAGAATCAACTCGCCAGCACTTAACAACAACAACTCAAAGTCAATAAAGGACATACACACAAAGACCCTTGGTTATCTGCAGACCGTACAAAAAGCCTGATCCTCCTCTCAGATTTCACAAAGACATGAGCAAGAAGAGCACGCTAGGCCTGGGGAATTAAAAAAGCACAGGCCGAGCTGTGAACAGGGAGGGCTCAGCAGAGAAGGCTCTCTGTAAATACCAACAATAATGTGAACCTTCCTCTCCACAACACATTGGCCTCAGCTGACCTTGGCTTTCCGGGCCTTGTTATGAAGACCACAGTCTCAGAGGCAAGCCTTCAATCTTCTCATCTAAGCAGCAGCTTTTCCTGAACTGAAATGGGATTTGTGTCCTTCTGGTCTTTCGACAGAGCAATGACAGACTCATGTGAGTCAGGAAACTGAAACTGCACAGAGGGAAAGGCAGCTACAGGCTGAACCTGCTGAGCCTGACTGAGCCTCTTGGTCTTAGGTCAGGAACTGGGTGGATGTCTCAAGTATATATAGTCTTCGTTCCCAAACAAACTCCACATCCATCCAGCTGTCACAGAAACAATGGCTTTGCAAGTTCAGCTTATCATGTTTCTGGACTTGCTAAGCAAGGCCACGGTGGAAAAAAAAGAAAGGAGGTTCACATTCAAGTTCACTCTCCCCCTGCCTCCAAATGACAACACTGGCCCCTTATTCTTTGTTATGCTCGTGTCAGCATGACAAAAGAGAATGCCCAGGATCTAGGATTCCATCACCACTGTAAAGCATCTTGATTGTTCTTGGGCTCCATTAGCAGAATCTTATGTCATGATACTGACCTCCCCACTGGGACAATGTGAGGGAATAATTCATAATTGATTGAGAAGTAGTTTCCAAAGGCAAACATATACAGTGCCAAATTCATTCCTTTTTAAATTTATAGGCTCTGTTCTAAAAGCTTTTTTTTAAAGGTATCAGGCCAAAATTTGTCCATGGATCGTTCTGAACAGACGACTATTTTCTCTACTTCATTGTGACAAATGTCACAGGAAAAGGAGCTGGTCTCACAAGAGAATGTTGTCTCCACTAAGCTTTCGCTTCCTTCTCAACATGCGGATGGAGTAATCAGCAGACCTGGGAGGCCAATTTGGCAGTGAGCTGCCTCTAAATGATTAAATGTGGAGAAGGTCAATCTTGCTGTCAACGGACAGCTGGAGGACTGCAACTGTTTGGAAGCAACCTGGGAGAGAATAAAATGCCCAGCCGTGACCCTCTGCTTCGGGTGTTTCCTGAAACGCTATCCCTCATCTCTGGGTACGAAACTGTGGGTCACCGACCACACAGCCTGTTGCCAGGAAGAGGTAATTATGTGCGTTCACAAAACCGAGACGCAATGATGGCGGTCCCAGGAAGTTGGTTTGGTGATTCAATATCTGTTCTACCAGAATCATGAAGAACAACTTACGTTCCCTAACAAAGGTATGCAGACGAGCCCTGGTGGTAATGACAAAGGACTGGAAAACATCTAAACAGTTCAGCAATGGTGAGATTGGTTAAAATCAATTATGATACATGTCAACAAAAGATTACTATATAGTGATGAAGCTATATGCACTGATATGAATGGGTCTATAAAGTATACTGTTCAATGAGAAAATGCACATAGATTTATGTCTAGCAAACTGTCATTTGTGTTCAGAAGTAGAGGATACTGAGAATTGTTTTAGAAGCTCAGATGGTCATTCTACAACAGGATATTCCAGAGATTAGTAAGGGTGCTTGTCTCAAAGGGAAGGGAGGATGGAAAGACACCTGACTTTGAACTATATAGTTTCTAGAACCATCTGACTCTTTAAAAATTGTGGTAAATATATACATTGCCAATCCAACATTTTTTACATTGAACCAACACCCGATTCAGGTAGGTTACACTCATCATGTTGTATGCAACCATCATCATTAACATGCACTCGATGGTTCCTAAAATCATTTGAACTTCTAAAAACCATTCACTCCTTCATTCAAGAAGGAATTCTATTGAGACTCTAATTGATATCAGCCCTGTTCTAGGCACTCAGTAAAAAGCAAACATGACAGATAAATCCTCTGCTCTCCTAGAGCTTAAGTTCTGGTGGCAGAACAGGCAGGCCAACAAGGAAGTCCCAGTGACACCACGAAGTAGGAAACTAGCATGATACACAGTGACGGCTCAAGTGGCTATTAAAACAGATGTCAGGAAGAGCAAGAGGTGTCATTTAAACTGAGACTATTCCTGGCAGAATAAAATAAAGAAATGAATGAATGAATAGGAGCTGGGTTACAAGAAGAAAACATCTAATGAATGGCATTGAAAGGGAAAAGCTAAAACCAAAGTCTTGAACAATTTTTAATCCCAAGTAAATAAATACAACACAAAACAATTTTAAGTTAACCTGTAACACTAGTGATGAAAATCAGGGACAGATTAAAACCCTACAAGCAGTCGCCAGTTACGATATTCTGACTTACAGTGTACAACCCAGTTGTAAAGCAAGCCTCCCCCACCAAAGCCTATTATATTAAAAATTCAAGGTACATACATAATGGCTTGTAACAACAGGCATTATTTTACAATGCACATCAAAACCTGACTATGATTATTGTGTTATTATGTTAAAGATGTTTTAGTGAACCTGGAAGTGTTTCTTTAATGCTTTTCTATTCTTAGGAAAGTTCACTATATAGCAACCCTGTATAGATTTACCTTTATGGGAACAGAAAGCCTCATCTTTCTCCCATGGAGTGGCTGGTAGATTTGAACTGCTAACCTTGTGATTAGCAGCCCAACTCATAACTCATTATGCTACCAGGGCTCCTTACTAGATAGCATAGTATATACGGTAAACACTAGACTAACTGATGCTAGATACAAATCATACCTGACTGTTCTGACTTACAAATTTGACTTAAAGACAGATTTTGAAACAGAACTCATTCTGGGGAGTGCCTGTACTTGAAATGTTTTCTTGAAATTTTAATTTGCAAATTTTTATTTATTTTTACTTACTAAACACAACTAAGTCTTTATTTCAACTCCTAAAACAGGATGGATAAACCATATTCTGAAGAAGTAATAGTAAGACATTTAAAAACCTTGATTCAAGTTCAAGAAAAGCTTGCTCACTGATAAAGTAATTTTAGAACGATAATGATATCTTCCTGTCTATTCCCCCTCATCAGCTCCTGCCGAGATTAAATACCCATCTCAGTGAACAGTTAAGAGTTAAGTACTAAAAACCTAGGCTTTTAATTTTTTTTCCCACCCAAGATTAAGCTAATGAATTCATATAAGTAAAGAGGGGAAGAGCAGGTACGTTCTCACTGCACATTCCTTGTGGTCAGTGACCTTCCCAGAATAGAAACGACATGTGCCAGAGCCACAAGCCCTGATCCTGGGCCCACGCCTGTGAGTGTCCACCCTGCAGTCACATCCACCCACACCCATCAGCTGACAGTGCAGAGCAGGAGACCCGAGTCTTTACGTGAGTAGGCAGCACTTACGAGGTCAGAGCAGGCGCTGTGAGTCACAGGCTGATTGGCGAGGGTCATCAAAGACTCCACCATTTCCAACTCCTGCTGGTAAAAGGTTTGCACTCTGCTTTCCATGAGGAATTCTTTGGCTTTTTCACTCAGCAAATGCGTGAGGCTGGTGAGGTCCAGGGTGCCTGGATTGCTGTTAGGGGAAAGTTATGAAAATCCCTGCAGAAAACCAGCCCCTTTGTTCCTTTATGTGTGCATAAAACAGAAATTCAGCTAGAATGCGCATGCTCTGGTCAGGCTTGTTTTTAGGAAAGGTGCCATTCATACAGAGAACATTTTATGGCTGTTTAAAAGGATGAGGCTGACCTAAATGAGCTAATAAAGAGATTCATGACAATTAAGGAAGACAGCCAACTTGCAGAAAAGTAAGCCGGGCATGGCCTCACTTTTGTAAAAAGTGAATGTCTCACAAGCTATATGGCGACAAGTAGTAGACAGATATATACACGGACACCACCACCAGTGAGGTATACACCACAGAACGATCAACCATTCAAGATAAAAAAGGCAGAAGTGTTGAGGAAGAAGAAGGGATGGAAACAGGAAGCATAGGGAGGAAGTGGGTAAGTGATGTTACACGGAGGACTGCAGTCATTGAGACGGAACCAAGTGTATGACGTGCTGAATGTAAAACTGATGATCTGCTCTGGAAACCTTTACTTGATTTGCAATAAAAAGTTTTTCAAACCAAGTATATGACTTGTTGAATATAAAACTGCTATGTCGTTGTTGTGAAGTGCCATCGAGTCGATTCTGACCCATAGCGACCCTGTATAGGCTTTCTGAGCAGTAGTAGCTGGTGAGCTTGAACCGCCAACCTTGCAGTTCAAATGGCTTTGCAGTCTGGCGCATTAACCCACAGCGCCACACCAGGATGTGCTCTGTGAACCCTGATTAATTCATAATAAAAAGTAAAAGACATTTAAAAAGAAAAGCTATATGGGCAGATAGTTATACTTGTAAAGCAGAGAAGAAGAAACAATGTCCAATGGGACACACATCAAGTTATAAACAGTGGGAACCTCTGGGAAATGGAACTTGAGATGGCGAAATGGAAAATAGCAAACTTTGTTTACAAGTTGACAATTGGTACTTTTTAATAGAATATAAAAATATGTAGTATAGTCACATCTTAGAAAAAAATCAAAAGGTACACAATGAAAAGTTTCCTTTCTTCTCCCTTCCTGTCCTCATCCTTCCAGTACCCACCCCCTTAAGTAGCCACTGTTACTGGTTCTCTGTATCACCTCAAGAGTTCTTCTATGTATACACTAGCAAATGCAAATCCATTCTTATTCTTCCTGGCTTATCTTCATACTCAAGAGTGAACTATACATACTATTCTACAGCTTGCCTTTTATGGTTATTATGTTTAAACTTTTATAATAAAAATGCACTCACAATTAAACATGCACTATACAGGATCAGGAGTCCTGGTTTTGGCACTACAGGATAATGGGCTGGACCTCAAGGTTAATTTGAACAGTAAGGTTGGCAGTTCAAACCCACCAGCCGTTTCTTACAGACCCTATAAGGGTCGCTATGAGTTGAAACTGACTGGATGGCACTTTACAACAACAACATACTTAGGAAGGGCAATGGACTGTGAACCACAAGACCTGCGGTTCAAGCCCTTCAGCCACTCCATGGAAGAAAAATGAAGCTTTCTACTTCTGCAAAGATTTAAAAGTCTCGGAAACCACATACAAGGTTGCTATGAGTTGGAACCACCTGAAAGACAACAGTGGAAGAAACCTTGTTGGTGTAGTGGGTTTCATGTTGGGCTGCTAACTGAAAAGTCAGCAGCTTGAATCTACGAGCTGCTCTGCAGGAGAAAGATGAGGCTTTCTGCTCTCATAAAGATTTGCAACCTAGAAAACCCTATACAGGGTCACTATGAATCAGAACTGACTCAACGGCACATAATGACCACCACCACCATAATTATAATGGGGTCCTGATGTGGCACTGTAGGATAAGCATTGGACTGCTGATCACAAGGTAAGTAGTTCAAACTTACCAGCTGCTCCTTGGAAACCCTGTATCAGGTGGTTATGAATCAGAACTGGCTGACAGTATTTAACACCAACATAACGGAGTCCCTGGATGATGCTGCTAACTGAAAGGTTACAGTTTGAGTCCGGCTAGGGGCACCTCAGAAAAACACTCTGGCAATCTACTTCCAGAGAATCAGTCCCTGGGAAGCCTGTGGAGCACAGTACTACTCTAATACACACAGGGTCGTCATGAGTCAGATTCGATTGGATGGAAACTCGTGCAAGCCCCAAAGTATTGCTACTAGGGTTCCACCTTACACCTGCACAGGTTTATTCCAAACAAAATGAATTTACACATACACTGTAATCCATGAATGGCTACAGACAAGCTCTCTCGGTTGTATACTTGTCTTAGTCTTGTTGCTGTTAAGTACTGAAGAGTCAGTTCTGATTCATAGTGACCCTGCATAGGGTTCCCAAGGAGCGACTGGTGGGTTTGAACAGCCAATCTTGCAGTTCAGCAATCCAGTACTTATCCAATAGCATCACACCAGGGCACCTTAGTCTTGTTAGGGTGTCTTCAAAAAAAAAAAGATGCAAGCAAAACAGTGGCTTCTGAGATCTGCTGGGTCAGTTCAATTCAAAGCAGAGAGGTCAGCTCAGAAAGTTATGGTGACCGTTTTGGGGGACTCCAAAGGGTTAAGTAATCTTGATAGCTTTTTTTCAAAGTACAAAGGACAATTGTGGGGGCTTAAAGAAAATTGAAAAGTACATGGTGAAAAACATCAGGAAAGTTGTACATGGAGTTTTTTTCCACCACAACAATGCAGCAGCTCATTCTTCAAGGATAGTAAGGGCTGGCCTATGAGGATTTCACTAGGAAATCTTACCTCATTCACCCAATAGCTCTGATCTTGCCCCTTCAGGCTTCTGTTTGTTTCCCAAACTCAAAGAACATTTCAAAGAAACACAATTTGAATGTCTCGAGTAAGCCAAACTGCCATTTTTGACATGGTATAAATCAAAGAGCACCAAATTCTTTGGGGAAGGTTTAGAGAGATGGAAGTGTATAGATCTAGACAGAATATGTTGAGAAACAATAGCTTCACATTCTGGTAATTTTAACAAAATACAGTTCTATGATTTTGTAAGCAATACTTTTTGATTTACTGTTGCACTTACAATGGAAAAGTAGCCCAGCTATGTTGCTGTAGTTAAGCGCCTTTGAGTCGACTCTAACTCATAGCGACTGTATAGGGTTTCCAAGGCTGTAAAATTTTGCAAGAGAAGAAAGACTAATATTCCTTTCAAGGAACAGCTGGTAAACTTGAACTGCCAAGCTTGTGATTCGTAGTCCAGTGCTTATCTCACAAAGCGATATACTTTGAAATACACCAAATCATTACACTAATTCCATACAATGGGCTATAAAATTCCCCACAAAGATGTGATCGATCAGTCTTGAATTCTGGAAGCTACTCTCCAAATAGCTCTGATCGTCCAGGCCACTGAACCTCTAAGGCATGGGTGGGCAATCTTTCACTGCCAAAATCATTCATGGGCCATACAACATTATCAACTTAAAAATTAGTCTGCTATATTTGGTCACACATCTAAGTCACTCATCCCTAATGTGATAGCTCCTGGTGTGGCACTGTGGATTAATGCACCAGACTGCAAAGCCATTTGAACTGTAAGGTCAGCAATTCAAGCTCACCAGCTACTCCTCAGAAACCCTATATAGGGTCGCTATGGGTCAGAACTGACTTGACTGCACTTCACAACAACAACGCGATGGTTCTGGTAGCGTACACTACGAGTCGGGCTGCTAACCTCAAGGTAAGCAGTTCAAAACTATCAGCTGCTCCGCGGGAGAAAGATGAGGTTTTCTGCTCCTGTAAAGATTTACAGCTTCGGAAACCCTGTGCAGGGTCACTAAAGTTGGAACCGACTCCACAGTACTTAACAACAACAACAATGTGATGGCTGGAACTGAGGTGGCCTTGGTAGGGCCAGACCCAATGATTTTGCAGGCCATATACGGCCGGCGGGCCAGACAGACGTTCCCCACTCCTACTCTAGGGGCTCAGCTCCATCTGCTTTGAAATTTGGTGAGTGAGTTACAAAAGCCACACATTCCTGTGTCACCTGTTTTTCATATTTGTCAGGAATAAAGAACACATAACAAGAATATGATTTTAAGATTTTTCTTTGTTGTTGTTGTTAAGTGCCATCTAGTCGGTTCTGACCCATAGCGACCCTGTATTGGGTTTCTGAGGAGCAGCTGGTGAGCTTGAACTGTAACCTACAGTTCAAACAGCTTTGCAGTCTGGCGCATTAACCCACAGCGCCACACCAGGGCTCCAGATATTTTTTTAGCAGTGGTTTTAATTATTGTGATAATGGTGTCTCATCAGTTTTCCTCAATCTCAGCACTACTGAAATTTTAGGCTGGATAAGTCTTTGTTGAAAGAGCTCTGGTAGCATAATGGTTAAGAATTGGTCTACTATTCTTGAGGTTGGCAGTTAGAAACTACCAGCTATTCTGCAGGAGAAAGGTGAGGCTTTCTGCTCCTGTAAAGATGTACAGCCTCAGAAACTCTGTACAGGGTTACTATGAATCGGAACCGACTCCACGGCACATAACCAACCAAATTCTATGCTGTTGGAGGCTGTCCCGTGAATTGCAGGATATTTAGCAACATTATTGGCCTCTGCCCACTATATGCTAATAGCATCCCCAAACCATGAAAATCAAAGAAAAAAAATTTTTGCAGACATTACCAACTGTTCCCTGACAGGGCACAATCATCCCTGATTGAGAACCTCTGGTGTCATTTTTGGCAGTTAACTACTATTATTAATATTATGTGCCTTGGTGTAGTTTTCTTCATATTTCTTGGGAGTTTGTTGAACCTTTTAGATCTGTGTGTTTGGAGTTTTCATGAAATTTGGAAATATTTCTGCCACAACTTCTTTAAATAATTTTTCTGTGCTACAACTTCCTCAGGGTCTCCAATTATATACACACTAATTCTCCTCACAATAATCCTACAATGTTTGTTGCATTATTATCTTCAGTTTGCAGATGAGAAAAGTGAGTAAGCCGATGAGTCAGGATTTGAACCCAGGCCGCCCCCAGTATATGGGCTCCTATTACCTGGCTCTACTGCTGTGGTCACACTTTCAGCCATGGCAAGCCATAACTAACGTACCTGAGGGCCTCTTCTTTCTCAAGTGCTGGGCTGTGAAGAGGCTGGTCATAGACTTTTCTGTAGATCTCCGGCAGCTCAAGCATCCGTGAAATCTGAATGCTCCACACTGGATCATGCACTTTATCTAATAAGCCATGGAGAGGAGGGCAGATGCCACAGAAAGTACACAAAAATCAGTTATTACCCATATTCACATTGCTGCTACAATGACAGGAAATGGGACACTTGGTGGATCTTGTCTAGGTAGGAGCCAAGGATCATCCGTCTAGACACACTAAATGGCTCCCAGTCATCCTGTGAGATAAACTAGATCCCCTGAGCATCAAAGGCTTTTCCAGGGAGTGGTTTGGGACTGGGGAAAGCACATTCACGTATTTATTCATGTGTTCCTCTAGAGGACAGCAGGGGCCTTCCTTGACATTTCAAATAGAAAACCAGCTAGCGAAGTACAGCAAACATCACTCAGATGACGTGGGGCTCTCAGAGTTCTGATTGATCAGCTGATCCTTTCAAAGTTAATAGACTCAACAGTATTCAAGAAACCTCCATTCACCATGGTGAATCATATGAAAGCGTCATCCTAATGAACTGTTGTTTTTAAGTGCCACCGAGTCAGTTGCAACTCATAGGGACCCTGTATGGGTTTCCAAGGAGTGGCTGGTTAAGTATGAACCACCGACCTTTCAGTCCAGTGCTTTATCCTGCAGCGACACACCAGGGCACTTGGAAATCTCAAACTCTAGGATTCCAAATTCACTTGCTAACTTTAGAAACTCTACTAGGTCACCCAAAATAAAATTAGCAATGTATTATGAATCATTTATTTTCTATCAAAATTAAAACTATTTCTCTTCAAAATAAAATTAAGTGTTGCATGTCTAAAGAAAGCATGTTATACAATCTAATTTCTCCCATTTAATGAATTTTCTTATTTGAACTTTTTGGAAGTTTAACTTTTAGCAAAATAAGAGTTTACTGGACACACACCCAGAATAACAACCAATTTGGCAGCAAAATTTGGTGCTTACAATACGCTGTAGCATGGATTTCTCGCTCTTCTCTGTATGTGCGGACAAAGCCTCTGATTCGGATAATGTCCCCAATTTCTATCTTTGTTCTCTGATCAATGGCTTCTTGCAACTTCTTGAGCTGTGAGGTTAAGCTCAGATCTTTTGCTGTGCAAGGAGCAGCTGTAGTGGTTTGGGCTGAAAGAAAAAAGGACAATTAAACCACATTCCCAATGCAACATTTGTGAGGTAGTTTTGAGTAAGACCAACACAATTCTGGAGGAGTACAAAGGAGTTGACAACTTAGTACATATTATCAGAATGGTTTCCAGAAACAATCAAACTATTCATTTTACATGGTGGCATCAGCAACACATGCACAATGAAGTCTCCTGGGATGCCTTTAGTTTGATTTTTAATAGTTTAATAGGTGCATAATTTTATACATTGAAACTGTGTCCCCCCCTCCCCCAAAAAAAACAAAAACCCATATGCTTTGCAATCCTGACCACTAAACCTGTGGATATAATGTAAAGTCATGCAATGACCTTTTATCTAATGGAGTAGAACGGAACCATCACCCACAATGCAACCTAATATAATCAACTGTTCAGTGCAAGGTCACACCAGTGTGTGTGTGGGGATCCTACACCCAATCACTTCAGAGTTCTAGAAAGAGCAGCACAGATAAAAAGATATGCACTCACACAGGCCAAGACAGATACCATGTGAGGACTGCTAAGGAACCAAGGAAGGAACCAACACAGCTGAGAACAGATTTGGACTTTGGGCTACGGAACTGAGAGGAAATCAATTTCTGCTTTTAAAGTCATACATTTGTGGTGGCATTGTTATGGCAGCAGTAGTAACTAACTCCATAAGGTTTTATTTTCCATTTAAATTATGAGAGGTTATATTTTTTAATAAGATGATCTACTCTCTTTGTTTCTTCATGTATAAACTTATTGTGTAGCAAATTATCTAATGTCTCAGTTGACATGAACTAATTCCTGATGGCCCTAGGACTGACTATCAGAGTAGAACTATGCTTCACAGTGTTTAGTGGTTGATTTTTTTTTTTTTTTTTTTAAAGTAGATTGCCAGGTCTTTCTTCTAAGGTGCCTTTGTTGTTGCAGTTGTTGTTATGTGTCATCAGTTGGTTTCAACTCAAAGTGACCCTGTACAGGCTTTCCGAGGAGTCTTGGTGTGGTGTTGTGGGTTAATGTGCTACAGTGCACAGTTGGTTTGAACTATAAGGTTTAAGCTCACTAGCTGCTTCTCGGAAACTCTACACAGGTTCGCTATGGGTCAGAACTGACTCTTTGGCACTTAACAACAACAACAATAACATAGGGTTTCCGAGGAGTGGCTGGTGAGTCTGAACCACTGACCTACAGCTAGCAGTCCAGTGCTTATCCCATGGTGTCACAGAGGTGCCTTTTGGTGGACTCAAACTACCATTTTAAAGTTAGCACCTGAGCATGTCAATCATCTGTACCCCTAGGGACTTACACAGTATTTCTAGTTGTCAGATACTAGGGTTTATATAATAGAATGAATACCTTTTTTGTTCTACTGATCAAAAAAAATTTTTTTTAACCTAATAAGGTATTCCTGACCCAAGCCATGGTATTTTCAATCACTTCATATGCATGCGAAAGCTGGACAGAGAATAAGGAAGACTGTTAAAGAACTGATGCTTTTGAGTTGTGGTGTTAGAGGAGAATATTGGAAGTGCCATGGGCTACCCATAGAACCAATAGATCTGTGTTGGAAGAAGTGCAGCCAGAGTGCTCCTTGGAGGCCAGGATG